GCCCACCCATGAAGTCACGGGCAAAGTCGATCTGAAAAATCTCCCTCCACCGCAGAGCCCTCAGTTAGTCAATGGCAATGGGCCCAAACCAGTTAAAGACTCAATTAAGTTGGATGAGGTTGCATCCATCTGGGCCGCCGTCCTGAAAACGTCACGCACCCTTCTCAAGCCCAGTGATGACTTCTTTGACCTTGGTGGACACTCCTTGTCTCTGGCCGACCTATCCTCCCGGCTGTCGAGGCATTTTGGCTTCCGCGTGCCAATCACCCGTCTTGCAGAGAACACGACGCTGACGAGCCACCTGGAAGTCGTCCGGGCGATCCGGGATGGGCACACAGCCGCTGTGCAAGCAGATCTTCCGGCGGTCTTGCGTGCTGATGCGACCCTGGATGATGAGATCACGCCCTCCACGGCCACAGCTTGTCCTATTGACAAGGCGGATACCGTGCTGTTGACTGGTGTGACCGGCTTCTTGGGAGCGTTCCTTCTGCATGATTTAGTGGAGCACACCTCTGCCCGGATTATCTGTTTGGTACGATTTAATGAACCCGCCAACGACGACCAGCCCGGAGGTATTGCTCGTATCCGCCGGAACCTCTTGGATTTGGGCTTATGGCGCGATTCGATCATGGAGCGGGTCGAGATTCTCCCTGGCAACCTTTCCCGAACCCGTTTCGGCCTTTCCCCGGACGCGTTCGACGAGCTCGCAAGTCGTGTCCAGGTTGTGGTCCACGCCGCGGCAACCGTGAACCTGGTGTACCCATACGCTGCATTGCGCGGCCCCAACGTAGGCGGTACCAGAGAGGTGCTCCGTCTGGCCTGCAAAGGAGGCGCAACCGTGCAGTACGTCTCCACAAACGGTGTTCTGCCGTCATCTGGGGAGTCTGGTTGGCCCGAGGATGCCCTGTTGGATGTCGACCAAGTGCCCGACAAGCTGCTGGATGGGTATGGGCAGACCAAGTGGGTCGCCGAGCAGCTTGTTCTTGAAGCGGCTCGTCGGGGATTGCCGGTGAAAATCCACCGTGCTGGTACTATCAGTGGCCACAGCGCTACCGGTGCCGCCAACGCGTGGGATCTTCTCACTGCTCTGATCGTCGAGTCTATCCATCTCGGATATGCTCCCGATGTGGACGGCTGGCGGGCGGAGATGACCCCTGTGGACTTCGTCAGCAAGGCCATTGTCCACCTGGCTACCCAGACTCACGCCGACCAAACCGTTTTCCATCTGGGCGATCCCAGCCCGCTCAGCATGAACTCCGTCTTCGCGGAACTTCGGGAGCTCGGATACCCCACGCAACCACTCAGCTGGGATGATTGGGTGGCGCTGTGGACCCAGAAACGAGGCCCGGTGAAGGGCGGCGATGGCGCGTTTACCGTTGATATCCTCCGCAGTGGCATGCCTACCGTTGACTTCCTCCAGGGCATTGTCGTGCTCAACAATGCTGCGACCCAGCCGTCCCTGGCTGCTCTGGACCGACCCCAGGTGGGCCGGGCTTTGCTCGAAACCTATACCCGTCACTGGTTCGCCCGAGGATGGCTGACCCGGCCTCCCTCCCGGCAGCATGCTCTGGCGAGCTCACCAAAGCCGAGGGGTCCGCTCCACGGAAAGGTGGCCGTTGTGACCGGTGCATCCTCTGGCATTGGTGCCGCTGTGGCGGTGGCATTGGCTCGCGAAGGCTGTCACGTCGCCCTTGCTGCTCGGCGGGTGGACGCCCTCGAATCGGTTAAGAGTCGAATGACGGCCCATGGAGTGAAGGTGATCGCGCGACCAACCGATGTGACGAACAGTGCACAGGTTGCAGCCCTTCTTAGTGCGGCGAATGAAGAGCTGGGTCCCGTCGACATCCTTGTTTCGTGTGCTGGCGTGATGTACTTCACCATGATGGCGAATGTGAAGACCGATGAGTGGGATCGCACGGTCGATGTCAACTGCAAGGGTCTCCTACACTGTCTCTCTGCCACCGTACCGGGCATGCTCGCCCGTAGCCGCGGTCATATTGTTGCCATCTCTTCCGATGCTGGCCGCAAAGTCTTCCCGGGCCTTGGTGTCTACTCCGCCAGCAAGTTCTTCGTCGAGGCTACGCTCCAGGCCCTCCGACTGGAGACAGCGGGCACTGGCTTGCGCGTGACCAGCATTCAGCCCGGAAACACATCGACCCCCCTTCTCAACATGTCTACAGATGCTGAAGCTGTGAAGAAATACGGCGAGCCATCTGGGGCTCAGATTCTTGACCCAGAGGATATTGCCAACTCGATTGTTTACGCCTTGCGTCAGCCCGAACATGTCTCGGTTAATGAAGTCCTTGTTGAGCCCCGGGACGAGCCAATTTAGGTTGGATGGTCTCTCCCACGCATGTCGGATTTGTTCTGGATCACTTGGTTTTAGCGTTGCGAAGTCTTTCACTCACCCTTGCGGATTTGTCCTTTTTCTTTTCTGGTTTGTTGTCTTTTCAGGCAAACTTATGGAAAGCTAGACATGGGATCATACGCGGCTATACCGGTATGGGTATAATAGATCATCGGAGTTAGTTGAACTTTCTAAAGATATAAGCCACTATTGAATTTTATTCTCGTCAGCCTCGCTGCAAGGAGCTTTATATGTGATGTAGCTGTATGGAAATTTACCCGCCCGGCCAATCAAATCCATTGAATTGCCGGGTAAAAGGCCCTGGATAAACATGGCAAACATGACTCAATCCAACGGAAACATTCCTCTGCGTCGATTTTTTCTTCCTCTTGCCAGCTCCTCCTATTCCTGATTTGAATAAAACTGCACAGAATCACGGACATTTGGCCTGTTCGACTTACGTGATGGCGCTGTCTACCGACTCTTCGTCCAGCGGTGATCTTGCACAGAGGCCCGTTCATAGTCAGGAAGTATTAGAATTGGACATTCCCGAGCCCTACAATGGGAGTGAACTCAATCGCAGCAATGACGGATTCGAGATGAGTCGACTAGCTTCCTCACCACAGAATGAGCTGCAGGAGCCAGACTCGACCGACGAGTCCCGCAGCAAATGGAGAATCGTCGCCATTATGCTCGCCCTTTCAGTGAGTTGTTATCCTACCCCAGTTGCAGATATCAAGCACCGGTAACTGACGTTCAGTCCAGCTCAGCCTTTTTATTTCTGCTCTTGATCAGACTATTGTAGCTACCGCAACGCCAACTATCTCTGCGGAGCTGCACTCGGGCACAGGCTATGTGTGGATTGGTGGCGCATATCTGATTGCCAACGCAGCTAGCTCCAACATCTGGGCCAACCTATCCGACATCTGGGGGCGCAAGCCGATTCTTCTCGCGGCCGTTGCTTTGTTCTTCGGGGCTTCAATCATCTGTGCCAAAGCTATCAACATGCCTATGCTGGTTGCAGGTCGTGGTGTCCAAGGTATCGCGGGTGGTGGGATCATTCAAATGATTACCATCACCATTTCTGACCTCTTCAGTGTCCGGTATTCATGACTCTCTCCGCAATAGTGTTGCACTGAATACTGACAGACTCCAGACTTCGCAGCCTTTTCATGGGCCTCGTCGAATTTATCTGGGCAATTGCCGGAGCTTTAGGCCCCATCGTAGGTGGTGCCTTCACCCAGTCCATTTCCTGGAGATGGATATTCTGGATCAATCTGCCTATTTGCGGAACGGCATTTGTGCTCATCCTGTTCTTCCTGGATGTATACAATCCGAAGACTGGGGTCCTGGAGGGCATCAAAGCGGTCGATTGGTTCGGTAGCTTCTCCATTCTTGGGCTGACGGTTATGGTTTTGCTGGGCCTTGACTTCGGAGGAGCCACCTTTCCTTGGAGTTCGCCGAAAGTGATCTGTCTCATTGTTTTCGGCTGCCTGATGTCTCTCTTCTTCATTTACAGTGAAAAACGCCTGGCAAAGTATCCGCTTATGCCGTTGGGCATCTTCAAGAACCGCTCTAACGTGGCCTGCTTCGTCGTGGCTTTTACACATGGCTTCGTGAGTATCCAGACTGTAACTCTTCGGTCTAACCTGACACTGACGGTCTGAAGGCATTCCTCGGACAAGAATACTATCTCCCGCTTTATTTCCAGTCAGCCAAGGAAGCGTCCCCTTTCCACTCTGGTCTTCTGCTTCTCCCATATGTCTTGGCAGAAGCAGCCATAAGTCTTGCTGCGGGAGTTATTATTCATCGCACGGGTCATTATCTCGAAATCGTGTGGACCGGAACCGCACTTGTACTGCTGGGAAGTGGCCTGCTCATCGATTTCAACGCTACCTCCTCGCTTGCGAAAATTATCTGTTATCAAATCGTGGCCGGTGCAGGATGCGGCTTGCTTTTCTTCCCGCCCCTCCTCGCCCTCCAGAGCAATGTCGCGCAGGACGAAAACGCCTCCGCGACGGCAACTTTCGGCTTCATCCGTAATATGGCGATGGCCATGTCGGTGGTGCTGGGTGGGGTGATCTTCCAGAATGGCATGAATACACGGCAATCCGACCTCCTGGCAACGGGCCTCTCTGACTCCATCGTGAAGGAGCTCACCGGATCCGAGGCCGCGGCCAACGTGATGGTCATCCAGTCCATATCGGATACACTGCAACGAAGTGTCGTCAAGGACGCCTACGCTTGGAGCATGCGCAACATTTGGATCCTGTACACCTCTTTAGGCGCGTGTGGACTCATCTTCAGTCTCCTCATCACCCGCCAGCACCTCAGTGTGGAACACGTTGAGACCAAAACCGGACTGAAGGAGAAGCAACCCCTTACCCAATCTCGGCAGAACGAGCCTGTCTCTGAACCGTAAATCACAGCCCGAGCTTGCTTGGTGATCCAGCCAGGGTGAACAATACTTGGGCCTTGTTTATAGTTATATTGTCAATATTTGCGGGTATATAAAAAGCACATTAATATTCATAGAACGAGCACGTCTTCATATACATAGCGATGAACAAGCTATAGCTATACCCCATCACCATCTCCACCATAAACCCTTCCCCATCCACACCTACATTACCACTCATACAAACACCACACCCTAAAACATCGCCGCAACAGCCACAGCCGCCGCCCCAGCAAGCGGCATACCAGTAGCAACCGCCCTCGCAACGGGCACACCCACGACAGCCGCGCCAGGAGTCTGCGTCGCCTGGGGCATCGTAAACGACTCCACGCCCCCAGTAACCAACAACCCGTAAGTCGTCACCTTATTACTGGCGACACTAACCTTCGTCGACGTAGAACTGGACCACGACCCGCCATTCATCGTGCCCGTCGCCTGCATCGTCAACGCACACGACGCCGACTCCGACCAGTGCTTGAACGTGCACGAGTAGTCCTGCGTGGCCGTCACGGCGTCCTTCTCGCTGCTCCAGGCCGTGTAGACGCCCGTCAGGCTCCAGGATTCCTGGGCCTGGATCATGGTCCACGGCTTTTCGATCTGGCAGAGTGACTTGGGCGCGTCCTTCGTGCAGCTGATGTGGTAGGTGGTTTCCCGCGCGTTGATCCCCGCCACGCTGCCTGCTATGCCGGAGTACGTCGGCTGCCAGATGGATACCTCTGCCCCGAAGAAGGGGGCGGTGGTGGCTTTGTCGTCGGCGAGCACCAGGGCAGTGCTGGTCAGGGCGAGGAGGAGGGTTTTGAGGTGCATTTTGGATATTTTTCTTAGGGGTTGGTTTGGTTTGTTTATATGGTATGAGATGATATGAGAGGAGGTTCAGAACACTCGTTTTATAGTAAATTCAGTGGTATTCGAGTCACGCATAAAAGGGTCAGTACAGCAAGAAGTTGAACCAAGCAGAGTAACGTAGAAGCACAAAACAGAACAGAAAGAAAAGAAAAAAATAAATAGAAACAGCCCCCCTCTTATAATCCAGACCCATGAAAGACGCCTAGAACGTAAGCGACCCCGGTAGCCCCCATCCAGGCGCAGCAGACACATGTGCGCGCACCAACAGTTGTCTTCCCAACGTAACCTGACCACCAAGCTTCATTTCAAATCCGCCCAGAATGGAAGCGAATGAGGCTAAAAAGCGCCGGGAGGCCCGAGCAAATGCGAATCCGGGAGAAGCCGACAGGAACGAGGGCCGGCGATTGGATGGTGCAGGGGAGGTTTGTGAGTCACGGTGTAGGTTGGGCATGCTCAATGGCTGCTCGTTAGATATACCGGGGGCTATTGCAACGATTCTGAAATTACAACTGCGCTAGGGCTTCGCTAGCGCTGGCGGTTTGTCGGGGCGGTTGTGCTGTTTTTGCTTCTTAGGGCTTAGTGAGCGTGCAGGTCGGGCTTTTTGGGGTTTGGTTGCCGACGCTAGAGTCCTGAGAGGACGCTAGGGAACTAGCTACGTAGTATCTTGTGCTGGATGTTCGGCTGTGGGGGAGCTGTGCATGTGCCTTTTGGCTTATGTCTGGTGGCGGTCGTGCTTATGCGGGGGATGTTGGCGCTTTATGTCCCTAATGTCTCCATTGACAACTATATACAGTTCCATTCCCGGGGCATTACAGCTTGGACTTCCAGCCGGTAGATACGGCTTGCAGTACCACTCCCGTCATCATCAGCGCCTTTTCTTCTTCGAGTCGCCGTGCGACTAACTGCAGACTGACCGGCATCCCGTCAACTGCGGAAGCGTTATCTAGAACTCGGAGTTAGTATGGTCTAGCATGGCCTGTTTTGAAGGATAACCGTGGGATGCACGTACAATCATGCTGTATCCTGGCATCTACATCACTCAATGCCTTGTGGCCGTGATACGACGCATCCAAAGCCTTACTCGCCGTCACACCGCAGGGGAATGAAACAGCCGAGTAGTCCAGGACATTGAACACTCCAGTGTATCCCACATACGCAAACTTACCGTGCTCCACGGAGCTGTATGGAGTTGTTGGGCCTGTTCACGGGAAACCAGTTAGCGGATGCAGTCCAAGAGTATGAGCCAGAAGGCAAATAGTATCATACAGAGAATTCCGTCAATTCCGCTAGCATTCCATCGGTGAAGATAGTCTTTCTGCAGAGTATTCCGCTCAAGATGGATCTGCCACATTTCATGGACCCCAAGCTCTGTCGCCTTCTCGTAGTCTCGCATCTCCTCCCGGAATGGCTCCCCCGTCGGCGCCAGGAGCCCACGCACTGACTTGCCACCGTCGGCAACGAACTTGCGATGCAAAAGCTCTCGCGCTTCCTGGTGTCCCGTTGGCACCCAGTCGATCACCTCATGACCGGCCTTTCTCAGTCGCTCGACCGTTTCTTTCAGTGCCCGAGCTACGGGCGGCGTGGGGGTGACGATGCCATCGTTCCACATGACAGCCAGTCTGAGTCGGTGCTTTGGCTCCGCCGGACGCCACGGGATCGGAAGACACTTCGGGTCGTTGATCCAAGGCTCTTGGTCGATGACGGTCTTGGAGTAGAATGTGATTTCCTCCAATGTCGTCGCCATAGGGCCATTGACACTGTTCACGGCTTCTTGGCCCGCCAGCCCTGATCGAGTCTGGAGGTTCGGGAATCGTCCGAAGGAAGGCCGCAGTGTGAAGATACCTGTACAAGCGGCTGGGATACGGAGCGAGCCACCTGAAGCTGCTGTTAGCACTTTCTACTGACTGGCTCAGTGCTAGGTAGAGTAGGCCACTCACCAATGTCAGTTCCAACACCAATGCGACTCGCCCCGAATGCGATAAGCGCCGATTCACCCCCGGACGAGCCACCGGATGTCAGCTTCCGATTGAGGGGATTCACGGTCCGGCCGAAGACGTTGTTGACTGTCTCGGCGATCATCATCGCGGTGGGCACGTTGGTTTTCACATACAGCACTGCTCCGCCTTGCAGGAGGAGATCTGTGAGGGTACTGTTGTATGTGGCGGGGTCATTGACCAGCGATGTGAAGCCCACCGTGGAGTCTTTGCCGATGATGTTGAAGTTGTCTTTGAGGGAGATTGGGAGACCATGGAATGGGCCTTTTGGCTTGCCTGTCTTTTGCAAGTGTTGGTCCAGTTCCTTGGCTCGAGCGATGGCTTCGTCGAAGAGGATCTCGGAGAGGCAATTCGTCTAGGTGTCTCTTAGTATGTCAAATCAGAATTGTATGGCGCGGAGGAATATGTACCAATTGGTGCGCCGCGGCAGCGGCCTTACAGAACACCTTCGTCACCTCCTCAGATGTCCATGACCCGGTTTCCAAATGGGCCAGGATCCTAGGCGCCGCAGTGGACAGGATCTCGAGCTCTCTGTTCGTGAACCATCCGGACTGTCGCGGGAACGATGTGACGTCTGTTTGATGGTCCGGGGGAAGAAGATGAGGAGGAATGATCCATTCGGAAGGAATGGCAGCTCTGAGCGACTCCTGTTTGCTTTTCGCAATTGCTTGCCAGGAACTCATCTTATGCGGTACAGAAGGGAACCAGAATTGGGATTGGGAAAAAGATGCTAACGTTGGGGGGGGTTAGTTAGTATCGGACATTAATGGGAAAGGGATCTCCGTCTTATAGAGACGAATGACAGCATCGTAGCCTTGCGTGGATGCAGCAAGGAACGACTGCGGGGATCCTGAAGCATAGATCAGGTTACTACCCCCTCACGTCTCCTCCCCGATAAGATCCCAAGTGCCTAGGCTCAGCGATATCGGTGATCCTTCTTTGTTTTGTTCCTCTCTTGTCTCGGGCCTGATGTCCTATAGCAAGCGCCGAGGAAGGTTTAGCTGAATCAGGTCTCGTTGAGATAGCCGGTAAACGAGGATGTCTATCATTCAGCTTCTCCTTCAAGTAGTACCCGGCAGTGGATAGCCGGGTTAGTGGCACCAGAACTGGGTCGACTGGTTCGTATCGCAACTGAACCGCCGTTCCACTTAGGGTTCCGCGATGTCATTGGAAGAGCGGATGCCACGGAATGAAGGCCGAAGTCAAGTGATAGGCCTGACAAACGCGGGGTTGCCAATCCATCGCAGCAACACAGTGGGTCTGTCTATCTATTTATCGGTAGTTGCTATACTATGGTTGTGAGCATGGCTACCATGAGGGTGTTTGAGAACATCTCTTCCATCTTGTTACCGGTGACTTCGAGACCTCACTGACTATGTATCACAACGATAGGCAGCTAACGGATAACCCCCTCGCGTCTATCAACGCCAAGTATTTTGCTTCTTTCTAGACTCAAGATGAATCCACCTGGAGCTCTTCCTTCGGCGCCACCTTATCTTTCATTGGAGAGGTTGGCGAAGTGTCTGGGCAGGCGGGATTGCTGATAGCAGCCCGGGTTGTCCTCCTCATGGCGATCCCCATTAGAGTTTACAAGACTCAAGAATGGCCAGTGGCTATACTGGTCAGTTGGGGTGTTAGTATAAAGAGGCCGAGGAAGCTCTTTGCAAACTAGGTACTTCCGTGTCCTGCACCAATTGTACTCGTCGCCGATCTTCACCATGTTGGCGAATCTCAGAACCTATCTGAAAGGCCAGGAATCAAGGCCCGGAGAGGCGAAGCTGCTGCGAAAGCTGGATTTCTTCATCCTCTCCTTTTGTTGTTTGATGTACTTTTTTAATTACTTAGATCGCTCCAATCTATCGAACGCCTATGTGTCGGGAATGAAGGAAGAGCTCAACTTCCAAGGAAACCAACTGAATGTTATCAATACAATTTTCACGGTTGGCTATATCCTCGGCCAAATACCCTCCAACCTAGCATTGACCTACTTTCCCCCCGCATTTTCTTCCCTTGCATGATTGTGTTCTGGGGCGGTCTTACCATGATCACAGCCGCGGTGCACAATCCTCAGGGTATCATGGCCATCCGGTTCTTCTTAGGGTTGGCGGAGTCCACTACCTTCGCTGGAACGCATTACATTCTGGGGGCTTGGTACACCGAGAAAGAGCTGGGCAAGCGAAGCGGCATCTTTACTGCCTCTGGGCTCGCCGGTACCATGTTTGGGGGTTTCATCCAGGCCGGCATCCATTCCTCGCTCGACGGAGCACGTGGACTATCCGGCTGGCGATGGCTGTTCATCATCGACGGACTGATCACCCTCCCCATCGCACTCTACGGGCTATTCCTGTTCCCTGATACCCCCGCCACAACCCAGGCGCCATATCTCTCGGCTTCTGAGCGAGCCCTGGCCATCTCCCGCATGCCTGAGGCAAGCCCAGCGAGGTCGCGCTTAGACTTAGCCTTTGCGAAGAAGATCTTCGGCACCTGGTACTGGTATGGCTTCGTCATACTCTGGATCATTGCCGGCGAGACGGAGTCCTTCTCGACCAACACCCTGCTCGCGCTCTACATGAAGTCACACCCTACCAACAAGTATGCCGTCACGCAGCTAAACAACTATCCATCGGGGGTGCCCGCCGTGGGGATTGTGTCGACCTTATTCTGGGCTACCTTGACCGACTTCATGGGCGGGAAACGCTACCTGGTAGGGTTCTTCATTGGGATCACCGGCATTATCACCTCCGCACTTATCCTAACTCAATTCGACTCCACCGCGACGGTCTTTGGAGCCTACTACTGGGCCGGCGCCGTCTATGCCTGCCAGGCTACATTCTTCGCATGGTGCAACGATGTCATGCGGTATCAGGATGGTCGAATGCGCTCGGTGGTCATTGCCAGTATGAACCTGGGCAGTAATGCCGTCAACGCTTGGTGGAGCATCCTATTCTACTCTGCTACGTTTGCCCCCAGGTTCACCAGGGGTATGTGGGCCATGATCGGGTGCTCGATTGCTCTGATGCTTTGGACGAGCGGCATTATATATATGAGCATGAGAGAAAAACGGGAGGGGCTGGACGGGGTTGAGCGGGGTGAAGAGGAAATCGCAGAGGGGTCAATCTACAAGCCCAAAGACTAGAGCGAGCAGTAATAGCGAAAACAATATATTTCCTTTCTTTTTTGAACTGTGATGTGGTAAGCGATAGTTGTAGTGACGGAGGAAGTCGGACTGAACAAAATGACTTTATCGGCATGTTCCGATAAGAGAAACGCGGGAGAATCAAATGCGGAGACTCCCGACCCATTGACGTCGTTGATATTTATTTGCTTCGTCCCTCTTTGCAGTCCTCTTTTCTTCCCCAATTCCTCTTCCTAAGACCAATACCACCAATTGAGCTTGAATACAGCGTCGCAAGGCAGGACCTTGCTGAATCACCGTCCACGAACACCCCCACCAAGCAAAATAACAACCACAACCACCATGGCGCCCATCCTCACCACCACGCCGACTGTCCACGTCGCCCCCTCACCACTCACCAAAGAAGCCTTCGCGCCCTTCGGCACGGCGATCTACTCTCCTCTGCCGCGCGACCTCAACCAACCCCCAGCCAGCGTCTCCTCCCTGGCACCGCACACCCCAGCCCCGGTGCTCGCCAACCAAAACTCCGCTCTGAAGTACAGCCCCATCTCGCCGCTGCAAGACAATTACCCGGGCCACTGCCCAAGCAACCAACCGTCATCCGCGCGGATGACCATGTTCAGCTGCTTCCCGCGCCAGCTGCGCGGCCAGAACACCAAGTTCTTTGACGTGCGCATCCTCGAGCGCCACCCCTTCACCACCCAGACCTTCACCCCCGTCGACCTCTCCAGCCAGCCCGACGCCGGCGGCCACCCCGAACCCTTCTTCCTGGTCGTCGTCGCCCCGACCCTCAAGGGCCAGACCGCGACCGCCATGACGCCCTCCGGCCCTGTTACCGTGAGAGACCCCCCGGATCTGAAGAACCTGAAGGCGTTTGTCGCCCGCGGTGGCCAGGCTGTTACGTATGCGGCCGGCACGTGGCATGCGCCCATGGTTGTGCTGGGGTCCAGGAGGGTGGACTTTGTCGTCGTGCAGTTTGTTAATGGGGTGGATGATGAGGATTGTCAGGAGGTGGAGTTCGGGGAGGGCGTTGTGGTTGAGGTCGAGGGGAGGGCTGCGGCGAAGCTTTAGTGGTTTTTTTTTTCTTTTTCTTTACTTGACCATGGGTGATGTTGATGGCTGAGTTATGAGGTTATGATGTATTATATCCTAGGATAGAGGGTGTCTTGTATGAGTTGATGGCTACTGTACATAAAATGGGGTGTGTGTGGAAGTATTGTACATGAATATTCAGAATTTCATACATTATGCGCTAGGTGGCGCAGGGTAGGAACCTGCTTCGGCTTTCCAATTGACATCCGCTGACCGGGATTGCTGAGCGTTACGGGCGCTGTCCCGCACGCTTCGAGCCATCTCGAGGACCTCCTTCGGTAAGCCCGCCAGCTGCGCGACCTTCAACGCATGGGACTCGCGATTCACGCCCTGGCGCAGCCGATGGACGAATGAGAATGACCCCGAGGCGGTCTCCTTGACGTCCGTGCAGTACCGGCCGAGAGCGTTAAAGTCGTGCGTCATGTCTGCGAGCTCGTGGAAGTGAGTCGCGAACAGTGTGCGGCATCGGTTGCGATAGTGGAGATGGTGCAGACACGCGAAGCTGACGGCGGTGCCATCTTCTGGGGTGGTGCCGCGGCCAACCTCGTCCATGATGACGAAGGAGCGGGATGTCGCCTGTTTGAGAATAGCGGCTGTCTCGAGCATTTCCACCATGAATGTGGACTGGTCGCGGAAGAGATCGTCCGCCGCGCCGATGCGACTGAAGATTTGGTCGACGATCCCGATCTCGGCGTATTCGGCTGGGACGAACGATCCGACCTGCGCGAGAATCGTGATGAGGGCGTTTTGACGCAGGAAGGTGCTCTTCCCGGCCATGTTGGGCCCCGTGATGAGCCAGATGCGTTCCTGATCGCCTAAGAAGCAGTCGTTGCTGACGAAGCGTCGGCCCTGCTCTTCGAGACCGAGTTTGACAGTCGGGTGTCTTCCTCCGACGATTTTGTGGGAGGTTCCCTTTGTCAGAATGGGCCTAACTAGGCGCTGTTCCTGTGCCAGTGTTGCAAATGAGCACGCGACGTCTAGTTCGTCCATTACGGCGGCATTGCGCCGGATCTTCACGAGGTTGAGAATCACTTCGCGGCGAAGTCGTTCAAAGATCAGTTGCTCCTCTTGCCGAATTTGGAGTTTCGCTTGGTCTGTTCGATTGCCTAGCTCGGTCCATGCAGGTAGGTAGAACGACCTGGTTGATTTAGTGGTGGAGACGTTTCGTGTCACTCCTAATTCTTCAAGGGCTTGCTGGGATACCTTGGTGCCCTTGACATGGCATATATGTCCGAGACCAGGCGTCCACTTGAGGGTCAGAGTAGATGACCCGACAGAATCACGAAGACGCTGTGTCAAGTTGACTTTCTCATCCTGCAATTTGGCTAATGATCGGTGGAGCTTACGTAGAGCAGGGCTGGCATCCCGTCTCATAATCCAGGTGTCGACGTCTGCTGGTTCATCGGTAGGTGTGCCAGCTCGGGTAGAGCTTTTGGACCGGACCTTCTTGGGCAAAGCGTCGAGGTCAGTGGGCAAGCCTTCGTTCATGGTGACTTCCTGAGCTAGAATCGCCGCCTCTGCGGCGGTATCATCCTCAATCCGCTGCTTTTGGAGCAGCCCCTCTTCATCAATAGCAGCCAATATTTTGTCTGCGAGTATGGTAGGCCCGTCCAAATGAAGTCGATTGGTCATAGCAGCAAGGCTATTGTTGGCCTGGGCGGACGAGGGGACGTCGAAGCCTGTGGCAGAAAGGACCCGCTTGATCTCTTTCGAAGCTTCTATAGCCCTTGAGAGACAAATCAGGTCATCAGGATCTCCCCGTCCCAGTGTGAACTTCTGGACGAGGCGCTGAGCGTCATAGCTACGTTTCAGCAGCTGGATCACACAATCACGTAGCTCACTGTTGGCGATGAAAGCCGACACAAGGTCAAGGCGCTCGTTGATCACCGGTAAGGAAGTCGACGGAGAACCTAGAGAATAAGTGGTTAGATTACAACTACGAAATCCTCGAACAAATGGAATGTGCGTGTGAGACATACTCAAGCGATCCCTGAGGAGACGCGCTCCGCTTTTGGTGGAGGTGCGCCGAACTGCATGAAGCAGACTCCCTTTGCCGAAGCCGTCCCGAGCGGTTTCGAGAATCTCCAGCCCCCTCAAGCTATTGCGGTCAATATTCATGGATTCGCTCAAGTGCCGGCGACGAGGGGGTTGGAGTTTTAGATCTAAGCCCTGTAGTTGAACCCTGATGTACTCCAGGAGGCTGTAACCAGCGGCTGTCTCCTCCGGCGTGAAAGATTCGATAGATTTAGGAGCGACGGGCGCTTCTAGCATCGAATCCCACCGAGACATGGGCAAGATGTCTCGGGGAAACTGGAAGAACGTCATCAGTCGATGGTCGTGCCCAACTAGTAGTTGCAGCTCCTGCCCGATCAAATCCTGAATGCCCTGGTCAACCAAGATCTCGCGAGCACCGATCTTGCAATAGCTGAAGGAAGCATTTGTGCTGTCGTAGACTGGGTAAAAAAGTCACCCGTGGAAAGATCTAACCAGGATAAGCCTACGGACTGAGACGCCGATGACAGTACATGTTGATGTGACGAGACATCATGTTGCTGCTCTAGTTGTGCTTTCAAGGACGGTTCATCTATGTATATGGCCAGGAGAAAATTGTTTTCCGCAGGATCCATGAACTTCTCGTCAATCAATGTGCCCGGTGTGATAATTCTGGCGACCTTTCGATCGAAGAGAAGTCCCCCTGTGCGAGCTTTGTCCTCCGTGTCGTGCGCGAACTCCTCGCTGATGGCAACGTACTTATTGAGATCTTGTACAAGGGTTTTCAAGAAGCGGTCTAGCTGGAAGAATGGGAAACCTGCCATGGGAACAGGACCGGCGCTGGTCTTCTTGGAAGCAAGCTTGATATTGAGCAACGGCGCGAGCTCCTCAGCTTGCTCGAAATACAGCTAGAGTCAGGTTAGGAATAAACTTTTACGAGCTGAGGCCTCAGCGAGTAGATGGACTCTCTGGATCCGTTGTCCATACCTCATAGAAGCCCCCAACTCTTGTAAGGATAACACAATTCTGGAACTTCTCCATATTATTCCTATGCCCCTGTACGACCGGTGGGTATCGTGGTGCATCTTCTACGGTATCATGATAAGGTTCTAGCTTCAATGCTCCTTGTGGTAGATCCTTTAATTTCACAGTAGAGCGTGTTTTGGCACCCCGTTGGAGCGTGAGGCTTGGAGCTGGAGAAGGCATCGCGACGCGCAGCGATGGACGACGGGCATGATGGCAGATGGTTCGGTGTACCTGGCAGTGATACGGTAATATAAGATCGGTTTTGCAGAGAGGCGAGATGCGCGACGGAATCAAGTGTGAAATCCGACTGCCATAAACTGGCATGATCCCAGTATGAATCGAACGTTGGAAATTGTCGTTGAGCTTCGTCGCGAGCTTCACAAAAGAGCTTAAAGGTGATTAGCTGGGGCGCGCGAAAAGGGTAAAGCGTTTATTATTGCCTGAGGCACCCATCGCCAAACCTTCCGTCTTCGCCACTGAAATCTGCTCGAAGAGAACTTCGGAAGCGGAACTCTCAAACGCAACAACTCTTCAACACCGCGAACCATTCCACGCAGCTTGCGGCCCTGCACCAACGACGAAGCTTGTCTGCTGCAGGAGGATGCTCCAGGTTTGTGAAATCTTCTGGAATCTCATATAATTGCAGGATTCATTTATCGTCGCAGGAGTGTCGACGCGCCGGTTGATCGTGAGCTCCACCGAGCCCAGACGACTTATTCCAGTCGTAACACGATCGCGTTTGATTTCAATCCCTTTCGTTCTTTTGTTGCACAGTTAATCGCATTATAATACCATCAAGATGGCGGACCAAAATATTTCCCAGTATAAGTACTCGGCGATGTCCAACCTGGTTCTCCAGGCGGACCGTCGTTTCATTTCTCGCATCAACGATGAACCTACCGGAGACCCAGAGTCCCTCGCAGGTCGGATTAGCATTCGGGAGATGGGCGGCCGAATGGCGCGTGATGATGCGCCAAAGACGAAAAAGAAAGCAGGCTTGACCGAAATCGAGCGAGGTTCGATTCGAGAAGGCGAGGACGTACTCGCCCGAGAACAAAAGAAGCGCCAACGAGGCCAACCTGCACAATTACGAGGCCAAGGTATCCTTTCGGCTGCCGATGCTGTTGTCGAAGGCTTGAAATACCGCCCCCGGACGCCAGCCACCCGAGCCACATATGATCTTATCCTTACCATGACCGCAAACCATCTTGGCGATGTTCCTCATGAAGTCGTACGAAGTGCCGCCGATGCCGTGCTGGAGTACCTGAAGGACGAGGAAATGAAAGACTTCGATAAGAAGAAGGAGATTGATGATTTGCTTGGCAGTTCCATGAACCCGAAAGAATTCAACGAGCTTGTGAATTTGGGCAAAAAGATCACCGATTACGACGCGCAGGACGAAGATGAAGATATGGACGGTGGTCTTCAGGGTGAAGGTGAGGAGGAACTTGACGAACGCCAAGGTGTTGCCGTTGTTTTCGACGAGGAAGACGAAGATGACGAGCGCATGGGCACTGTCAATGAAGTGCGAGACGATGATGAGCTGTCAGATGAGGACGAGGCAGATCTGCAAGACGCAGCCGGCACTGACGAGTTAACCGCCGACAAGGCTGACGCCGATGATCTCGACACCGAGGAAATGGTAATAGACGGCGGCGTGGACCGTGGTGGTAACCGAGGGGATAAAGGACTCAAGGTTTCCGCTCGCGAAATTGATGCCTACTGGCTTCAGCGTGAGATCGGTAAAGCATACTCAGATGCCCATATCCAACAAGAGAAGGCCACGGAGGCACTTGAGATCCTTGGCGGTAAAGGCGAGGATGGCGCTGAGAAGCCACTCCGAGATGTGGAAAATGATCTAATGGAGCTCTTCGACTATGACTATCCGGACCTCGTTGCTAAACTGGTTACGAACCGGGACAAGATTGTTTGGACCACTCGGTGGCGCAGGGTGGCCGAAGATGCGGATGCCCGCAACTTGGTCGAGAGCGAAATGGTCGAAGCCGGTCATCGTGCCATTTTGGATGAAATTCGAGGAAAGACAGCTCGTGATGATGGAAGTAGTCGACCTGAGAAGAAGATCAAGCTCGACCTGATGGACGTCGATGTACCAAATGCTCCCGCCCCAGAAGAAAAGCCAGCTGATGGCGGCTTGGTCAGAGGCCTTCAACCCAAACGGCTGATCAATCTGGAAAACCTCGTCTTCCACCAAGGAAATCACTTGATGACAAACCCCAGTGTCAAATTACCCCAAGGTTCGACCAAGCGGACATTCAAAGGATACGAAGAGATTCATGTGCCGCCTCCCAAAGCGAAGAGAGATCCCGGAGAGAAGAACATCCCGACCACAGAACTTCCCGAGTGGGCGCGGGTTGGTTTTGGAAGCTCGAAGGAGCTCAACCGTATTCAGACCAAGTGTTTCCCTTCGGCTTTCCATGATGATGGTAACATGTTGGTCTGTGCGCCTACAGGATCTGGAAAGACAAATGTTGCCATGCTCACCGTCCTACGAGAGATTGGAAAGAACCGTAACCCTCAGACGGGCGAAATCATGCTGGACGATTTTAAGATCGTTTTTATCTCACCCTTGAAAGCCTTGGTGCAAGAGCAGGTCGGAAACCTTGGCAAGCGCTTGGAGCCCTATGGCATCAAAGTCGCCGAACTCACCGGCGATCGCCAGCTGACAAAGCAACAAATCGCTGAAACTCAGATCATTGTGACGACCCCAGAGAAGTTCGATGTTGTTACGAGAAAGGCATCAGAGACAAGCTATATTAAGCTTGTGCGGCTTATTATCATTGATGAGATCCATCTTCTTCACGACGATCGTGGCCCTGTCATCGAAAGCATCGTAAGTCGGACCATTCGCAAGGGCGAGCAGACTGGTGAACCTGTCCGAATTGTTGGTCTGAGTGCCACCCTCCCTAACTATCGGGATGTGGGAAGCTTCTTGAGAGTGGACCCCGTAAAAGGCCTATTCCATTTCGATGGCTCCTATAGGCCTTGTCCGTTGAAGCAGGAGTTCATTGGTGTTACAGACAAGAAGGCCATCAAACAGTTGAAGACCATGAATGATATCTGTTATAATAAAGTCATCGAGCAAGTTGGGCAGCGTAGGAACCAGATGCTTATCTTCGTTCACTCTCGGAAAGAGACGGCCAAGACAGCGAAGTATATCCGAGACAAGGCCTTGGAGATGGAGACTATTGGTCAAATCTTACGAAGCGATGCTGCTAGCCGAGCCATCCTGGCTGAAGAAGCAGAGTCTGTAGATGATGCATCGCTTAAGGATCTCCTTCCCTACGGTTTTGGTATCCATCATGCTGGTCTGAGTCTTGCCGATCGTGACTCAGTCCAGGCACTCTTCGCAGACGGCAGCATCCAGGTTTTGGTTTGTACCGCCACTCTTGCTTGGGGTATTAACCTTCCTGCACATACAGTCATCATCAAGGGCACCCAGGTCTATTCTCCAGAGAAGGGTAGCTGGGTTGAGCTAAGCCCTCAAGATGTCCTGCAAATGTTGGGAAGAGCTGGTCGACCGCAATATGACACTTTCGGCGAAGGTATCATCATCACTTCCCAGACGGAAATTCAGTACTACCTCTCCCTCATGAACCAACAACTCCCTATCGAGAGTCAGCTTGTAAGCAAACTTGCGGATAACATGAACGCCGAGATTGTTCTTGGAAATATCCGGACGCGCGATGAGGGTGTTGACTGGTTGGGTTACACCTACCTCTTCGTCCGTATGCTGCGCTCTCCTGGGCTGTATAGTGTTGGTGCCGATTACGAGAATGATGATGCTTTGGAGCAGAAGCGCGTTGACCTCGTCCACTCTGCGGCAGTGATCTTGGAGCGGGCAGGGCTTGTGAAATATGAGAAGAAGACTGGTCGTCTTCAGTCTACTGAGCTGGGACGGGTCGCTTCGCATTACTACATTGGCCACAACTCCATGTTAACGTACTCTCAGCATCTTCAGCCATCAGTTACTACCATTGAGCTCTTCCGAATCTTCGCTCTTAGCGATGAGTTTAAGTATATTCCTGTCCGTCAGGACGAGAAGCTTGAACTCGCGAAGCTTCTGGGCCGTGTGCCAGTCCCTGTCAAGGAAGGTATTGATGAGCCTCATTCGAAAATCAATGTTTTGTTGCAGGCTTATATTTCGAGACTGAAGCTCGATGGTCTTGCTTTGATGGCAGACATGGTCTATGTAACCCAATCTGCTGGCCGTCTTCTGCGAGCTCTATTCGAGATTGCGCTAAGGAAGGGTTGGTCGTCTGTTGCCAAGACAGCTCTCGACCTCTGCAAGATGGCTGAAAGGCGCATGTGGCCGACAATGACACCTCTTCGTCAGTTCCCATCCTGCCCCAGGGACATCATGCAAAAGGCCGAAAGAATTGATGTGCCGTGGGCAAGCTATCTCGACCTTGATCCTCCGCGTATGGGCGAGCTTCTGGGTATGCCGAAGGCCGGACGTGTTGTCTGCGACCTTGTGTCCAAGTTCCCTCGTTTGGAAGTCCAAGCACAAGTTCAACCGGTGACGCGGTCCATGCTACGCGTTGAATTGACCATCACACCCAACTTTGTTTGGGACGAGGCTTTGCACGGAACCGCGCAGGATTTCTGGATTGTAGTGGAGGACTGTGATGGCGAGGAAATCCTTTTCCATGATCAGTTCATACTTCGCAAAGACTATGCGCAGTCGGAGATGAACGAGCATCTTGTTGAGTTCACGGTTCCTATCACAGAGCCGATGCCCCCCAATTACTTTATTTCACTCATCTCCGATCGTTGGATGCATTCCGAAACGAAGATCGCTGTCTCTTTCCAGAAGTTGATCCTTCCGGAGAGATTCCCCCCGCATACGCCTCTATTGGCCATGCAAAGTGCTCCAGTTAAGGCATTGAAGCGTGATGAGTACCAGAACTTATACTCCGATTGGCAGTATTTTAATAAGATCCAAACGCAGACCTTCAAGTCGCTCTTTGATACAGATGATAATGTCTTCATCGGCGCTCCTACTGGAAGCGGAAAGACCGTATGTGCGGAACTCGCGATACTGCGTCATTGGGCTAAGGAGGACAGCGGCCGCGCTGTCTATCTTGCCCCCTTCCAGGAACTCGTTGATCAACGACACGCTGACTGGGAGAAGAGGTTAAGCAAACTCTCCGGTGGCAGGACTATTGTTAAGCTTACTGGGGAGACGACGGCTGACCTGAAGCTCCTGGAGCGGGCAGACCTTGTGCTCGCCACTCCAGCACAGTGGGACGTCCTCTCTAGGCAATGGCAGAGGCGTAAGAATGTACAGACCGTGCAGCTGTTCATCGCAGATGAGCTCCACATGCTGGGAGGCTACGGGGGCTATGTTTATGAGGTTGTGGTGTCGCGCATGCACTCAATCGCTCTTCAGCTGGAGAATGGTATGCGTATCGTTGGTCTGAGTGTGTCGCTCGCTAACGCCCGGGACATTGGCGAATGGATTGGTGCCAACAAACATACCATCTACAACTTCAGCCCGCATGCCCGTCCAGTTCCCCTGGAACTCCATATCCAGTCCTTTAGCATCCCTCATTTCCCCTCCCTCATGTTGGCGATGGCCAGACCGGCGTATTCTTCGATCTTGCAGCTCTCACCAGACAAGCCCGCAATCATTTTCGTGCCAAACCGTAAGCAGACCCGTTCTACCGCCATGGATCTGCTGGCCGCTTGTGCTACCGATGACGATGAAGACCGATTCCTGAATGCCGATG